TTTTAAGTTTTTTTGAAATGATTTCTTTCGGATTATTTTTTCGGTTGTTTCGTAGTGTCCCTGTGCAGTATGTCTTACGTTGTAGTAATGAGTGTGCTAAATTACTGCTGTTGTAATAGTTGTCCATAAAGAGTGAGTGACCTTTATCCAAATAATTTTCCATCAGTTTATAAACAACATACTCTGTATGAGTTTGTTCAGGTGCTACCCTCTACTCCCCATAGTCTACTCGTTCTTGTCGCTGCTCTCACGGATGTGGTATAATCATCTAAACTGACGGAAATGCCACTCGCCCACGTACGAGCTAAATGCGCATCCCATGCAGCTACAGACCTCGATAATTTATATTATTATTAACATTAAAAATATATATTATTATATTAAATGTGAACATTTGGTTCTTAGAACTTTTGTAATGATGCATAAAACTACGTCCTGTGCACCCTTAATGAGAACATTTTTATAGTCGTCTGCTCACATGATTTAGCATGTTCCTAATGTTAATGATTTCCAGAAATGCTTTCTCTCCTACAATTACAAAGTTGGTCGCACCCTACCCTAGCTTGGTGTGGCTGGTACTTAGTTGATCGTGGACTACACAATGCGGGACGCTAGTCCATAGCAATAATATAATATTAACTAAACGTCAATACTTGGATTACAAAATATACAACATAACTTCATAATTTTTTTGAATACATGTACATTTTTACAAATTATAAAATACGGTTTCTAATGTGAGATTAGCCACAGAGACCTGTTCAACTATCAACCGTGGAACGATGGAAAAGCATTATAGTCACTGCGGCTGACAACTAGTCCATGAGCACTGAGCGGTATATGGTGTGGCTGCGGCTTGTCGCACGTTGGGAACCCCATACCTTTACGGGTGACGTGTCAATCGTGATTATATGAGAGAACTGTCTTATGACGTAGAATAGCATTCTAAATTAGTTTATCACAACATAACAAAGCTTAATCCTGAACAAAGTAAAGTTTATTACGAAGTTATAAGAAGCGTTGATTCAGATTCTGGACGTGTTTTTTTCTTGGATGTTCCTGGTGGAATAGGAAAAACGTTTTTAATGAATCTGTTGCTAGCTAGCGTAAGAATGCACAAAAAAATAGCGATTTCTGTGGCTTCATCTGGAATAGTAACTACTTTGTTGGATGGTGGAAAGACCGCTCACTCTGCTTTTAAACTTCCTATCAACTTAAATTTTTCTGAAACTCCTTTATGCAACATTTCAAAGCAAAGTGATGCAGCACATGTACATAAGGAATGCAAGTTAATTGTTAGGGATGAAGCTAAAATGGCTCACAAGGGAGGAATAGAAGCATTGGACATCCAGGACATCAGGAGTAGTAATCACCTAATCGGTGGGATGACCGTTTTACTGGCTGGGGATTTCAGGCAAACACTACCTGTTGTTCCTCAGGAACTCGTGCTGATGAAGTAAGGGCCTGCCTTAAATCATCCTATCTATGGACTAAGATCCAAGTCAAATCCTTACGAGTTAACATKAGAGCGTACCAAGGCGATCCTGAGATAGAGGATTTTTCCAACTTACTCCTTAAAATAGGAAATGGAGATTTACATGAAGATGATAATAGGAAAGCGAACATTCCAAACAATTTGTGTACAGTCGTCAAGAATCTAAAAAGTTTGAGTGAGCAAATATATCAGAATTTAATTACTTCACATTCAGAAAACCTGACTTGGCTTAACGAAAGAGCCATTCTTACACCAAAGAATGACACTGCAGCTCATCAACGATTCCTTATTGGACTAGCTTCCTACTGAAATGGAGAAATATCCATCTGTGGACTCTGTTGTGGAGTTAGAAGATGCAGTTCATTATCCTGTAGAGTTCCTTCACACCTTAAATCCACCAGGAATYACACCTCACAATCTATGTTTGGAAATTGAAGCTCCAATAATGCTAATGCGTAACCTTATACCTCCAAAACTTTGTAATGGGCACACGACTTCGGTTTAAGACCTTACATAAAAATATAATTGAAGCAACTATCTTTACAGGCTTCGGTATGGGAGAAACAGTTTTATTTCAATCTGACTACCACTTTAAATTCAAACGGCTACAGTTTCCCGTAAAAGTATGTTTTGCCATGACGATTAACAAAGCGCAAGGACAGTCTTTGAAAGTGGTAGGAGTGGATTTAAGGAATGACTGTTTCTCCCATGGCCAATTATACGCATCCTGTTCACCTGTAAGCTCTCCTGATAGTCTGGTAATACTGCTTCCCGAAGGAAGAACCAAAAATATTGTATGCAAGGAGGTTGTTTGAACACCGACCATTTTTTGGCGGGTTTTGGYGCAAGCGACAGTCCGGGCAACATATTTGGCCACTTCCTATCCGATTGGTCACTCTGCAATCGCCGCGGACTTGTCGCCGCCGTCTCGGTCGTCTCGTCCGCGTTCGTTGTTGCTGGCGGTGTGGCGAGCGCTCCGGTGTTGTGCGTCGGTATAAAAGGTCCGTCGTCCGTGTTATACCGGTGACCGTTTTTTGTTGTACCCACGAT